CTGATTGAATTCACAGCTCTTGGTAGGGGAGGTGTGTGGTGTAAAAAGTGCAGGTAAGAACAATGCATCTGTTAAGGAGAGCTTCTGAAATGAGACTAGGAACTTCACTTGCTGTCAGTATGCAATGGGTAGTGTCAAAGAGTACAACTGTCTAAATGGAAAGAGCACAAAATTCTCTGTACTTCCAGCAAGAGAGGCTGAACATGACTTCACAATAGAGGCAACAAGGAGATTTCATTGTGAGCCACACTAAATAATCCACCAAGGGACACAGCTTCAGCCACCACTCTGGTACCCAACAAATGCGCCTGTTGTTCTGTGTGATCTGTCATTAAGTTTGACTTAAATGTCTTCAAATGTAAGGTTTTCATGCCTGTTGATCAAGCAGGAAAGAAAAAGTAATATTTTTATAACCTGCACTCTGAAAAAGCTAAACAAATAGTCTCAAAACACAACAGAATTAACGTTTCTTGATCCAGTGTTTTCAGTGTTCACTGGATGCTTTTTAAAAAAACATTTGAACAACAACATTAACTAGCCTGGGCACGTAGTCCTCCTGCTGCAGGCTGCTACAGGAGGGCAGATCAGTAACACTGAGCAACACCCAGGGACTTGATCTGCTTCAAGGAACAAAGCTGCTCAGATTATACTCCTGAGCTCTTGCCCGCTAAGAAAATCCTCATCAATCAGTGCCAACCTCTGTCAATGTGTCTGCAAGGGGAAGTTTACTGTTACATTTTGTCATCAATGCTGGAAACATCTAACAAAAATCTGGACAGCTCCTTCCTCTTCCAAACGTCATTCCTGTAAACAAGATGCTATTCCTCCCCGAAAGAAGTTATTTATGACTGGAAAACATATCACAAAGCTCTACAGAGAGTACTTATTCTAGGTACACCTCTAGAGAATGAAACAACTAAACTTAAATATCAGGTAGTTTTAAGAAAAGCTGCCCACAACAGAGTTGATTAAAATGTCAAGGATAGAATATGAAGAAAAATTAAGTCGTTATTACGAATTGTTTCAGCCCAGCTCTGTGGCAAACTTAGGTGGAAAGGTAACAGACCTTAGTGGTGGTTTTCCTGGTTGTTTCCAGGAAATCAGTTTTACCTTCTTAAACTTTTTGGAAACATGCAAAATAACTATAATCCACAACACAAACATCTTAAATTCCTTGTTAATGGTCTGACTGATTTTTTTTTGTCCCCTCAGTGAAATTATTTAGAGAAGGATCATCAGCTGACTCAAGTTTAGTTGCTAGAAGCCAACAGAACTGCACTGATTTATACTTCAACATCTCTCACTCTCATGGCTTAACTGTCCTACTGCTCAGTTGACAATGTTACGAAACAAAAGCTTACTGCAAATCTTTTGAATTCCAGCCCTTTTTTGGAAAACATGTTATTACTCAGGATTATTTTTCTGAGACATACCAGTGCAATGAAGTTTCATCTGATATTGCACATTCCTGTCCCAGATTTTTTTAATTCCTACATTGAACAACAATGATATCTGATAACTTATTAGCAGCATTTAAGTTCATTTTAAAAAAACATGCTACCCTCCATTAAAACTATGTCTATTTTTTAGCTAACATGGTATATTAAACACTGAGAAAACAGGCTTACACATGGAGTTGAAAAAGGGAGAATGATCTGTCAGCACAGAGACCTGGGCACATGTGAAGTTCACAGACCATTTTTTCCATACAAGGCTAACAACGCTTGTTCTCCTCACCACAGACTCGGACTTGGACTCTTCTGCTCCTAGCTAGCACAAGGGAGGGGATTCATTTAAACTAACACCAGCTAAGAAAGGTTTCAGAAAACCTCTTAAAGCTGCACTCTCCTTCACCACAGAATAGCTCTGGAGCATTGCTGCTTGAAGACGAGCCTGGAAAACAGCCAGTTTGGAAGTCACCTGTAAAATCTGTCCACAGCTTGAATAAAATATTCTTATCCTGGACCATGTTTTCATTAAGTGAAGTCTGATGAGTAGAAAAAAGCACATCAGAAGCAAGCACAAATGGAGCCTCACGTGAATGGCTGCAGCATACCATGTGAAATAAAAGAGAAGCTCCAGAGGAATCATCTGTGTGTAAATTGAGCAACTCTTCACTGACTGACTCGTCATTGATGGCATGCTATAGTTTCATCCTAAGCAGTAGGGGAGAAAGAAATGTGTAACTAATCTGTTAATATCCCCAAGTGTTATGCACTGAACTCCAAAATAAGGATTCCCAGAGAGCTGTGTTGGCACGTCCACTCATCCAAGACAGAGAGTGTTTAATTAAATGTTGATCGCTACTTAAAACTAGTGAGGTGTGAACAGCTCAGTGAGTTACTGGAGGTCATGCTGCTACTAATCTCACAATACAGGGATGGCCAATGCTCACACAGGTAGAAACTACTCATCTGAAAGTCATTAAGGCACCAGGAGCTCAGGTCATCAGAGGAGGGGGGCTGTAAAACTGCCCCATCCTCATTACATCCTTCACAGGCATCCGCTGACTGCTTTCTCACCTAAGCCCTGCTCTATACAAAATCTTCCAGAAATGGCAGAGGACAGAAGAGCAGAGCTCAGATTTTCCTTCAGGAGTAACACAGGCAGAGCTAATTCAAGTGGAATAGATCAGTTTGGAGTGTAGCATGCACTAAACCACTGTGCAGTGGCAAGGTCATGCAAGTCACAAGTGAGACACACTACAGTGTGTTGGGAACCTTTTATCTGAATATACTTTTCATGACCAGCACCAAAAACACTTTTGCAACTCTAGCAATTTTACACAAAGGAGCAAAAATTTTCCATAAAATGGACTCTCTTCTACCATGAATATCCCCTACTTCTTAAGGGTTGCAGAGTTGTTTTAGGAGGGCAGTCCCCATCCAGTGGTCCTTCAAATAGAGAAAGGCAGCACTGTGACTTTCTATTGCTGAAGGCTGAGAGGAACATGAGGCACAGTGCCTCTGGCTATTCCTGACTCTGATGTGTTTCCAGAAGAGAAAAGAAACAAAACCCCAAAAGCAACAACAACAACAAACAGACCACAAGCAAAATTAGATGAGAACTGCATGGCAGAGAAGTGGAATAGCAAAAAGAAAGCACTGCTTCTGCCCACACTGCCAACGCTGAGTTTTACATTGTGTTGTCCTGCCAGCCTTCACTACCAAGCATGACAAAAATCTAGCTGGTGACAGAATAAATCACAATGTCCCACGGCACAGTGGAAGCAGCTCTTTGCCCTTGTAGCCCACCTAGCCTTGCCACAGGTTCCTTGCTCAAGGACTGCAGACAAGGCCATTTTAATCACTGTATTGCCCACAACTGCCTTTCTGAGACAGCAAAAAAAACATTTAGTTCAGCCTCCTCACTACAACACAACTGATTAGACAGCTAAAAATCCAGCTACAAGCATTTTGCATTATCTCAGACAACTGAGGATGTGCTTTATTACACAAAAAGAGCTTCTCAATTTGAAACTGAAGTGATGGCAACACAAAACTCTTTGTAAAAGAAACCTTGAAGTGGCTTATAGCAACATCCCGCAGGTTGGAAGAATTGGCTGATCACAGTTATTGCCTTCTTCATCATACGAGCACTGAATCACTCCTACTCCGCCTTCAAAATTCAAAATGAGCAAGTATAAAGCTCAAGCAGCTCCTCCCTGGTTCTCTCTGAGGCCCTTGATCTCACTGCACACATTCTAAAGGGGTCATGTTAATGTTGCTCTGACAAGATGATTTTACTACCTGCCCCCAAAGACTCCTTACAGCAATCCAACTGAGAGAAAGAAATTTCACCCTCTTACATTTAGAAATTTTTTTTATGCTTTATAAATTAAAAGGGCAAGCAGAGATTATTACTCCAAGTCTGAGCTCAGACCAAACAGTGTTCAGCAAATTACACCTCCTGCGTAGTAGGTATGAACGTACACAGAAGATCAGCAGCTTTGTTCTAAGCTGTTACCATCAAGGCCAGAGACAAAGGCCTTGAGTCTCAGAGCAAGAAACAACCGATGCAAGACGCAGGCTCGCATCACTTCTGTAGACACTGCAACCCAAGAAGTCCACTCAAAATATGTAGGCAACTGCTAAACACTGGAAAGCACTATGCTTCTACCCACTACTGGGGACAAAAAAAAAAAAAATCAGCACAAATTAGCCACAGACCACAAGCTTACTCCAACACACAGATGAAAAGAAGTTCTGGATTATTTCCAGATAATGAGGTTAGAGCCCAGACTTCACACTGCCTTCAATTGAATGTCATCCCCCAGAGCAGCTGGGTATGTGACAGACATTTAACCAGTTTCTGTGGTTTCTCAAAACTGGGGAAGAGTTAAACTTCCCTTGTTAAAAACATCACTGAATTCATGAGACACATTCATCCAGCAGGTCCACACAGCTGAACAATTATATCAAAGAATGCCTTTGTATTATATGAAAAATTGCCTTTGAAGGCAAGCTATCTGGACATGCTTCCAACTCCCCAACATCAGAGACACAGGCATCATGCCAGCCCATAACAATGTAAAAGCCTTCTGCAGGGTAAAATGAGGGTGTGCGTGTCATTAAAAAGCTAGCTCAAATTAACCACATCTATACAGAGAGACACCTGACTAATATATGACAATAACTAGGCAAAAGTGTTTACAGGTATTGATCTAATGCCAAGAAGACAACACTAATTGCCTGATAATCCCACATACATGTCTCTTTAAAGGAAGGTTAACTCCCAACCAAAGTTATTTGATACACCTGATGGCAACTCCTTTTGGACCATGAGTTTTGAATTTTTTTCTAGAGTTCTGTATGTTGCAATCCTACTATAAATAGAGCTGCTCTCTTGCTTTACTAGATGACAGACATATCTTTCCATCCTCAAGCAGGCTATACGCAGGCAATTTTACCTGGACAGGTGACTCATTAGGCCGAGGAGATGAGTTACACAGGCAATGGCAATGCTTTCTGCTATGAGTCAGGAAGGAGAAAATGCTTTACCGTTTGGTCTGTAAGAGGCGGCAGCACGATCAGCTTCTCCATGGTATTCATCACCACCCTCCAGAGCTCCTTCAGCACCCGCTTCAACACTGTCTTCTCACACACCGTTGCAAACAGTGTCAGGCTGCAGGGAGACAGGAAGAACTGAGTAAGTTCAAAGAATGCGATTTGGAAGGTAAACACGTGTGTAGGAGAATCAGTGCCCCATCTAAAGCAGTTGGTCATAATGATTACTTTTGGGGTAAAAACCTTCCCCTTTCATGATGCACAGCCTGTATTCACCCTTGGAGTTCTGGAACTAAATACATTTGGCTAAAACGGAGTACAGACATTTCTGTTCTCAATTATTTCTATTTATTGACCTGGAGATTGTAGAAGGTATCACTAAGTTTTTAGGGTTGGGAACAGTCTGAATAAAAGCAGGTACTACTAAACTGGGTCCTTTTAAGGAAATACTTCCTGATGTACTGGGTTTACAGAATACACAGGACAAAAAATATATATACACAGAATCAGAGGGTTGACTTTGGCGGGTTTACAGTCCCCTGGGAGACAGTCCTGAAGGGCAAAGGAGTCCAGGAAGGCTGGACATACTTCAAGAAGAAAATCCTAAAGGCACACAAGCAAGCCATCTCCACGTGCCAACAGACAAACTGGGGAAGAAGACTGGCCTGGCTGAACAGAGAGATTTGGCTGGAACTCAGGAAACGAGAGTAGAGTTTATGGCATTTGGAAAGGGGGCAGGACACTCCTGATGGCTACAGAGATGTAGTGAAGCTATGCAGGGAGAACATGACATGGGCCCAGCTAGAACTCAGCGTGGCTACTGCTTTTAAAGACAATAAAAAATGTTTCTATAAATACATTAACAAGAAATGGAGGACTAGGAACTATATTCAACCTTTATTTGATGCAAGAGGAAACAGTGAGCAAGGATGATGAAAAGGCTGAAGTAATTAATGCCTTCTTTGTCTCAGTCTTTAGCAGCAGGACTAGTTGTTCTCTGGGTACCCACCCCTTGGGCTGGAAGATGGGTATGGGGAGGAGAGTGAGACTTCCATAATCAAAGGGAAATGATCAGTGACCTGCTGCATCACTTAGGCACACACAGGTCTATGGGGTCAGGTGCATTACACCCAAGAGTACTGAAGGAGCTGGCAGAAGTGCTCACCAAGCCACTTTCTACCATTTACTAGGAGTCCTGGCTTACCGTGGAGGTCCCAGATGACTGGAGGGTAGCAAATATAACACCCGTCTACAGGAAAGGCTGGAAGAAGGATCTGGAGAACTAAGGGCCTGTCAGTCTGACCTCAGTGCTAGGGAAGGTTATGGAGCAAATCATCTTGAGTGACATTATGCAGGACATGGAGGACAACCAGGTGATCAGGCCCACGCAGCATGGGTTTATGGAAGGGAGGTGCTGCTTGATGAAGCTTCTATGACAAGGTGACCTGCTTAGCAGATGAGGAAAGGAAAAGGACTGTGTATGTTGTCTACCTGGACTACAGCACAGCATTTCACGCTGTTTTCTACAGCATTCTCATGAAAAATATGGCTGCTCATGGCTTGGACAGGCATACACTCCGCTGGATAAAACACTGGCTGGACATCCAGGCCCAGTGAGTGGTGGTGAATGGAGCTAAATCCA